GAGACTGGTAGAAGGAATTTGAATTGAGCCAAAGAGCGATTTGCAAAGAGTTGTTGCCACACCCCTGGCTGGAAGGATCTGCTTCCCATGGTCCCTGTTGCTTCACCCATTTCTACATTTTCCCACCAAAGTATTTCTGCACGTTTGGGAGAAGGCAGCATCTCCATGTTTGTCTTGTTCCTCCCCTGCTACCTCTGTTGCTCTAAGCAAGAGAACAAAGGGAAATCTTTGGTTTCATAAATCAAGTGTAGAGTACTTCTTATTTGTAATGAACCCCACATTGATGTCATTGATTGAAGCTGTTTTAGCTATTTATCACACGTCATTTGCTCACCAGGGAAACAGATACTGACTGTACCTAGTTAATGCAGGTTAGAATGTTAGAGGGAATAGTGGGGAGGAGGAAGAGGGATCTCCCTGCATATGTAATTATTATATTCCAGGACTATTGATTAGGCAGTTGGGGGTCAGAGAGAATGAAATGGAAATTGGAAGGGAAATTTTAGGTTTGCTTTACCAAGAATACCCTTGACCTTTTGCACATAACATAGTTTTTTTGAGAAAATAATCAAGATAATATAAAATATGTGTGCTGGCATGTTAAAACCTAGCCAGAAAAACCCGTTTTTGCCTCACCCTATGGAACTCTAGAGACATCCTGATTTTTTTAGTTAAGTAAAAAAGCATTTTAAAAAATTGATATTTTTGACAATCCATCTGAAATTGCCCAGTATCTAAAACGCAGGCATAACAATTTGCAGATATAATTTGAGTTATTTAAAGAAGCTTGCATGGTCAATTTTACATTTTACAGAACGCAGGGAAAAAAAGGATTATCATCCTGAAATATTCCTTTTCACTTATCTACCTCAAATATTTATTCCACATGGTAAGGCTTCTTTTTCTTCTTCTTTTTTTAGGTATATTTATTTTTTAGAACAGTTTTAGCTTCACAGCAAAACTGAGCAGAAGGTACAAAGATTTCCCATATATGCCCTGCCCAATAAATACCCAGCCTTCCTAATAACCAACATCCCACCCCAGAGTGATACATTTGTTATAATCCACGAACCCATGTTAACACCTCTTTATCACCCAAGTTATGTTTATATTAGGGTTCACTCTTGTTTTTTTACAATCAGTGGGTTTAGACAAATGTATCATGACGTGTGTGCACCATTACTATATCACACACTGGTGTGTGGCTTCTTTTAATGACTAGAATTCTATTTAAGAACTTGTGGAGGTCCCTGAAAATGCTAGATAAATGTGATAGTTGAATTGTCTGCATGTGTGTCTCCTTGTATTACATCTGGGTACATGTCTTCTCTACATAGGCTACCGCTCAGATGGAAGAGCGTCTAAAGGAAATTATCACCAGCTACTCTCCCGACAGTGTTCTTCCCCTCGCAGACGGAGTGCTTAGTTTCACTCACCATCAGATTATTGAACTGGCTCGAGATTGCTTAGATAAATCCCACCAGGGCCTCATTACCTCAAGATACTTCCTTGAATTACAGCACAAAGTAGATAAGTTGCTACAGGAGGTAAGAACCATGTACTATATACAATTTTCTGATTTATTTTACTTTTCCCTTAGAAAAAAATTTTTGGAGATCATTTGCTTACAAGTTATAACCATGGGATGGAGTTCACATTTCAGGAAAGTGAAGAGGAAAAAAAAAATCTACCCGATTGCTACTTGCTATAAATGGATTCTGGTCATTATTTATAGTAATAGAAAATTAATGTAATAAACTTTACACGAACCTTGGGACCTGACAATCTATGACTGTAGGATAAGTGGATTGTGAAGGATTTTGAAGCAGTGATTTTTTTTCCCCCTTAACCATAAAGTTATAAATTGCTTGAGCGTATGTGTGTTATTTGATGATGCTATCTAGTTCTAATATCTGAAAAAGCTAAATGGAAAAATTTGCTGGCTTCTTCCAGGCTGTGTGTTCTATTAATTAACCTGCATGTGGTGTTGGGTAGTAAATGGCAACTTATATTTTCATTAATATCAGTTCGTCTTCTAAGAAAATATCCAATTTCCAGAATAACAGATAAACATAGGACCTGTCTAGGCCTAACACTTGCATGCCTAGCTCTTGATAATACTCAGGACAGAAGGGAGTCTGTATGGGGGAATGGAATGAGTGCACAATATTGTTCTTCTGACTGAAATTGACCAGTCACAGCCTACAAGTGAAACCTATTTAGTCTATGTATTTGAATATATTGTATTTCTGTATGTTGTGGGGCATAAATTATGCCCAGGTAAACAAAATCCTAGGTGGTTTTCGTTAAGCATGAATATGTAAATAATTTCATAGAACTGAAGGAAAATGCTAGCATCCTAATTTCCTAGAAATCTACCTGGCTTCTGATGCCCTCTCACTAAACTCGCTGATGTTCTTTTTTATTGTCATAGCCAATGGACATTTTACTGGAACATTATTGCATTCAGCATTGTTAAAACCCTTTTTCTCTCCTCTCCTCTTAATATATTCTCTTATTCTTGGTACCTTTCTGACCATTTCTCTTCTGCCTCTTCCAAGGGTTTCTCTTCCAACTCATGTTTTCTGCATGTTAGTTTTTCCACGATTTCATTCTCGGTATACCGCTCCTCCCTTCTCTCCTAGTGATCTTGGCTGTCTGATGGCTTCCAATCTTTATTTCAGGCCTGCAGTCCTCTCTCAGCTTTCAGAGTCTTATGTCCACCTGCCTACTGAGTATCTTTCCACCTGAACAGCTCACCAAAGCAGCAGACCCAATCTGTTTACGACTAGACTCAGCATTTCCCCAGCTAAATCTACTTCACCCTTATTCTTTGCCTCCACCATTGGCACCAGCATCTACCCAGTCACCTGCTAGAACTAGAGTCTCTCTTTCCTTTTATGAAACAACCACCAGACCTTCACAGTGTGCTTCCTAAATATTTCTGTAACTCTTCCCTCATACTCTATAAGGATTAACTGGCTCAGATCCTCATTCTCTCTCTGCCTCCTTCTGGTCCTAACTCCTCAAGTTTATGCTTTTGTGCAGCTGCAAGCATGTTTGGCTGATACTTTTTATTGGCTTCATTCTGCCTACAGATAAAAACCATAACAGGGCCCATGGCCATGCCCTCCCTCTCAGTGCATTTAGCCACAATGCATTGTACTGATCTCTGTGTACTCTCTTGACCAGCAGGCAATGGTCTCTGATGAACAGGGGTCCTCTCTAACTCCCTGGTACCTAGCTCAGGGCCTGATGTTTATTGGATCCTCAGTAACAGTAGAAGGGAGGGAAAAAGGAGGCATATGCATAGGTACATATGTCAAGATATTTGATCTATTATGATGTATCATCAAGTAATATCTGCTGTTGCAAGTAATTTCTGCTGTTGCTTTTAATCAAATCAGTTTCCAGAAAATGCTGGAAACACTGTGTATATTACTGTTTATGAGAATAACTTGAAAATTATGTTTAGTAAGTGGTACCCTTTTGAACAGAAGAGGCAGGCAGAGAGGAACACCGTAAACAACCTCTATGAGATACTCCTTTCTTAATTTCACAGTTCTGTCCCAGGATCATACCATAATTACTAGTTTAGTCCTGTGTTTTTTATTCATTCATAGACATTTCTTGAAAAGGGTAGGATTGATATCCAAAGTTATTATATTAAAATCCCCCACTTAACATTGAAATCTCCCACTTAATTTCTGTGTGAGAGACTTGCCAGATTGTGTCGTGGCAATTTCAAAAAAAAAAGGGGGGGTTTCAAAGGTTATGTGAACGGGCCATATAATAGATGAAAAATTATCAATTTTGGAGAACTGTCTCTTTTGGCCATAAAAGCATGTATACTTGTGGCAAAAAGGTCATTATTAGGTAAATAAGAATATTTTTCTTATTTATCTTCACAGATAAACAGTTTGCTTGAGTCCTTTTGTAAAAATTAAAACTATCTTCATAGTCACCTTTACAGTGTCCTTGCAGAGCTTAGAGCTAATCTCTCACAGAGGGACTTGACCCTTTAGACGGAACTGAATTGTGGAACTTACCTCTGTTTCCCCACAGTGCAGTGGTTAGTTCCCAGCTGTGACATTCTGTGCCCTGCAGGCCTGTCTGCCAGCCATTTTCTCCATTGTCTACCTTTTGCATAGCCCAGACAAGGTTCCTGTAAGGTTTGAGCAGTTTGACTTAACTGATGCCTTTTTAAAGTCCTGAAATCTAGAACAATTCCAGATGAATGCTTTTATGTTTCCATTCGAAAATTTTCCTCACTTAGGTGTGCTTAGCTGAAGAAAATAAAGTACGATGTAAGAAGCTCCAAACCACTGTCAAATCTGGGTCATAGCATTTTTTACAGGGGCCCACACTTAAAATACAGACTGTTAAAATCCACAGTGTAGCCGGGCTCGGTGGCTCAGCCTGTAATCCCGCACCTTTAGGAGGCTGAGGTGAGTGGATTGCCTGAGCCCGCAGGTTCGAGACCCGCCTGGGCAGGTGAGACCTCAACTCTACATAAATCAAAAAAATTAGCCGGGCGTGGTAGCATGCGCCTGTAGTTCCCGCAACTTGGAAGGCTGAGGCGGAAGGATCGCTGGAGCCCAGCAGGCCGAGGCTGCGGTGGCCGGGAGCGGCCACTGCACTCCAGTCTGGGCGACAGAGTGAGACTCCAACTCAAAAAAAAAAAAATTCACAATGTTCCTCCTTTGGATCTTGGGGTCAGTCACCAGGAGACAATTTCTCTTCTCAGGCTAGTTGTGTCTTCTTATTTGGTAGTGTTATAACAAAGCTTTTCCTCCCTTCCTTGATGGTAGTAGATAAAGTATTATTTGAGTTAATTTAGCTTGTATGCTTTGGCCTTGGTTGTAGCTGATAGTTCTTAGAAATGAGAAGTTGGAACAAACTGATTACTTTTATGATTTTTGAAATTAAAACACTATTTTTAAGTGCTTTAAGATATAAAGTACTTGTTTCCTTTTGAAGAGACCATTAGAATGTGCTCAGGCTTTTTAGACTTACTTTATATTCCTGAATTTATAAAACATTACTTATTTATAGTAAGAAAAACTTCAGTATCCAGTCCAAATTGCCAACCAAAAAGTTAGATGATTTCTTTTGCTTTATCTTTTAAGGTTTTCTGTGTAGTTTGGTTAAGGATAAACTCTTAATGAAGGCATGTAACTATATTTCTTGGCATTCATTGTGTCTTCCAAAATCCATTTTTATTGCAAAACAAGAATTGAGAAGAAAAATGTAAAGGCTGTTCAGTATTTGAGATCGATCTGTCTATCTATCTATCTATCTATCTATCTATCTATCTATCTATCTATCTATCCATCCTGTCTGTCTGTCTATCTATCTATCTATCTATTTTCCTTATATATGTCCTAGCATCCTTATTGGTTACTAGGATCTAGTATAACTATAGTTATAGTTACTAGTTGGTTTTCTTTGAGCATATTCTATTCTATAATTATTTGCCAAAAATCTTTTTCCTTGTTTTTTATTATAATTGTTAACTGTTTTGTTTTTGCCCATATATGGTTTTTGTGCCCATGTTTTTGATGGCTTAAATTCAGTCGATATATTACTGCTAAGTGCAATCACTTTTTATATATTTAGTCTACCGTGTCCTTTCATGAGGGTAAGAGGCTGGTCCTTGTTATGATCAAGCACCTTCGAGAATGATTGTAAATGTTTATTACTGTATCTGTGAAATTATACTAAATTGTACCAGCATCACCTTGATATGTTGTTTTTTTAATTCTTAGAGGACAGTAAATCATAAAAACAAATGAAGTCTGAAAGTGGACATACATAGTTTACATTAAAACTTTTAAAACTTGTTTTATGCCTGCCTTGATACAGATTTATCTCATTTTTTTCAAGAAAATATCATTGAAAATGTAAATGACTGTTAACAAAGAGCTTTGCTCTCGGAGTATTCATTATGCTTAGACAACATGTGAAATAAAATTTAAAAAGATTTTAAGTCAATTAAATTTTACTGAGTGGAGTAACTGGGTATTTTTTATTCAGTGTGTGAAACTGAATTCATATGTGTATATACTCAAGTACAGGTTGAGCATACAAAATCTGAAATGCACCAGCATGATACCACAAGTGGAAAATTCAACACCTGATTTCATGTGACGGGCACATAATTATTAAACATATTGTACAAATTTACCTTCATGCTAGGTGTATAAGGTATATATGAAACATCAAAGAATTTCATGTTTAGACTTGGATCCCATCCCAAAAATACATCATTGTGTATTTGCAGATATTCCTAAATCCGAAACACTTCCAGTCCCAAGCATTTCAGATAAGGGCTACTCAACCTATATAAACATCCAGCTAATATTTGAAATAAGCTTTGCAAACTTCTTACATGTAATTAAATAACAGGCTAATAATCATAGCGTATACGTGAAATACATTTCATGTATATGTTAAACATCCAGGATAACAAAAGCATTCCTTCACTCTGCTAGCCATTTTACATATCTAAGATGTTACATCTGGAAAAATAAGTTCTTGATCAGCCTCCCTCTACTTCTACCATGTACTTTATATGTCATATAAACTTTTAATGTCTTCTCCATTCCTGTTCACGTTAAGAGCCCTTACATTTGATTTTTATCACAGACAATAAATCAAAGTTTTGCAGTTAGGGTATACCTAATAGAGCTATTTTGTAGATACTGACCTTTAATCGTGTCCATTTACATACAGATAATGCCTGTTTATCAGTCTTTCAAGAGTATTTTCTAAGCCTCTCGATTTTTGAATATTTGCAATGATCTAATTAGCATGCTTTGCTGATTTTTTAAAAAATTTTTTATTTAGTGAACTAATTCTGTCTCATCATTCTCTTTGTTGCTTTTTCATAGGCTCATGATCGTTCAGAAAGTGGAGAATTGGCATTTATTAAACAGCTAGTTCGAAAGATTCTAATTGTTATTGCCCGCCCTGCTCGGTTATTGGAGTGCCTGGTAAGTTGTCCCTAGATGTGACTGCATTGTTTATTATTAACAAGGAAAGTAGTAGTAACCCTCAGAAAGCCCCAGTTTCATTTGGTTTTAAACACCAAATGCAATAACCAAATAGAGTCAGGAGGAATTACAACTTGCAAATGTTTATGATGACATGCGTGTGTGATTTGTCTTTTTTGACTTTAAGAGGGAATTCTAGGACTTGGGTCATATTAGGTGATAGTCCTGTGATTTTCTAGTCAAACTTGAAAGATGATCATGTAATAATTTGCTTGAGCTTATCTCAGTATAATTACTTTATGTCACAGCTAATTTCAAACGCTTGCCGTGCCTCACCTTTTTGGAGTTGCCCAGACACAGAGATAAATAGTGACCTGTGATTGTAATTATTATTTGTTTTTAAAATATGTCATGTTAGAAAACAATGCTAGTTAGCAACCCACTTGGGAAAATATAGTAGGGCCTTATCCAGACCTGAAGGAATGAGACTTACAGAGATTAGGTCATTTTATCAACTATTTTTTTTTGGCCAGTGGTCATTTTCCTGTTTTACAATTGTTGTTTTATGACATGTTGATTTGAGATTTCAATAAACACTGTGAGCAGATATGGAATTTTGGACACAAAAATTATTTTAACAGGCTATTCATATAGCATTCGAGCTCACCTTTAAGTTCCACTAGCCGTTGAAGTAATGATAATACCGTGTACAATACAGTTCTCAGAAATACAAGCACACGTGAATCATACATATATGATTGCAGTGCTTTGGTTTTGTCCTTATTTTAATTATTATTAGTAGTGTTTTATAATAGTGAAATATTCACAACAGTTTCATCTGAGCCTTAAACAGTACTTTGAAAGCAGCAGAATTTTCATGCTACTTCCAAGTTCAATTATTTCTATCTTTGAGAGGCTACACTTTCACTTTTTCACACATATGTATATACCAGTGCATAGTGACACACAGCAGTGAGGAATCTGGAGGAGAAAGGTGTAGAGAGTTGGGAGCCTGGGAGAAGGTTTTTCATCAATGTCAAGGACCTTTAGAATCACAGAACCAAACACAGCATTTGGCATTGAGTGTCTCTGGAAAGATAAGAGGGAAAAAACACCTTGGATGCCTCTAGGAGAGAACTGGGTGACTGGTGAATGCAGGGAGAAGGGAGACAGTTTTTTACTACTTCTCCTGTTGCAGCTTTCAAATAGGCACCACGTGCTTGTACTTCCTGCAGTTAATTGAGGGGAAAGGGTCATTTAGCATGAAAACTTGTTGCTAAGAGCAGATGTTGCCTTAAAGGAGGAAATTAATTTTTTGCAGTAATCACTCAGAATCAGAAGAGAAAAAGTGAAAGTGTTGCCTCTCAAAGATAGAAAAAATTGAACTTGGAAGTAGCATGGAAATGCTGCTTTCAAAGTCCTGTTTAAAGTTCAGATGAAACCTCAGTTTCAGAGCCCTAGGAGGTGTTTTCCTCAACCTGTCATCTCATGTCTGCAGATCCCAGGCTTGCTCTGTCAATTATTGGAGGTTGACATAAAGGGCACTGAGTAGGTCAGGCACGTGGCTCACACCTGTAATCCCAGCACTTTGGGAGGCCAAGGCAGGAGAATTGCTTGAGCCCAGGAGTTTGAGACCAGCCTGGGCAACATAGTAAAATCTCATCTCTATAAAAAAAATATTAAAAAATTAGCCAGGCACGGTGGCACATGCTTGTGGTCCTAGCTACTCAGGAGGCTGAGGCTGGCAGATTACCTAAACCCATGAGGTGGAGGCTTCAGTGAGTCATGGTCATGTCACAGCACTCCAGCCTGGGCAACAGAGTGAGACTCCAACTCAAAAAGAAAAGAAAGGGCTTTGAGTGCTTATATAAATTTGCCTCTACCCCATCTGCAGCAAGCTTTTGTTTATGGCCTTTACATATTCCTGAGTAATTCTCAGGTGAAATGCTTAGATTCCAAAGTACCTACCTGAGGCATTAATGAAAATGCAAACGATCTTGGGGGGACAATGGGGATCTGGGAAATATAACTGAAAATAACAATTGTGCTTTAAATCTGTAAGCATAATTGTTTACAACACATCAATCCATGGCATCTCTGTGGGTGTAGGAAAAAAGCCAAACTCAGTTTCTCCTAGTCTATTCTCACGACACCATTCTGACACCAGTTGTGTGGAACGCCCCCCCCCCCAAAGATCAAGCAAGCAATCAGTTCTGCAGCAGACACCAACCAGATGTCCTCCAATTCCAATTCAGTGCTGTCTACCTGGAGCTAGTGTCAGATCCACAGGTTGAGGGTTAAATCCTCCAAGATTCCTCTCCACCCCCCACTCCCAAGACCATTCGCAAGCCCCAGGTTGTTTTACCTGTGCATTTAGCCAACTGGCTATAAATCAAGGTTCCTATGAAACCTTTCTTGGGCTCGATTAAGTTGCTAGAGAAGCTCACAGAACTCAGGACTCACAGAACCCATTTGCTGGTTTGCTGTAAAATATATTACAAAGGATACAGGTGAAGAGACGCGTAATGTAAGGCATGGGGAAAGGGGTGTGGAGCTCTCTAGGAACCTCCACGTGTTCAGCCACCTGGAAGCTCCCCAAACCCAGTCCTTTTGGGTTTTTATGGAGACCTCATTACATAGGCATGATTGATTACATCGCGGGCCATTTGTGATGAACTTAACCCTCAACCCTCTGTGAAGGCAGAGTGGGCCTGAAGCTTCCGACCCTCTAATTACATGTTGGTTTCCCTGACAACTAGCCCCCTTCCAGAGACTATCCTCAACTCATTAGCATACAAAAAGACATCCATCACTTTGTAGTCTCCAGAAATCAGGGATAAAAACCAAAGTTAGATTTCATAGTATCACAGCATCCATCTAAAATGATGTGATCCTGAAAATTTTTGTTACATTTTCTCAAAGATTTACAGAAGATGGAAGTAATTGGAAGCCTTAATTTCCTATTTTTCTTTTTCGATCTTAACATTATATAATATTCCAGATTTAATTTTAGAGTTAACTAATAAAATATGGTAATTTTGTGACATTTTTCTCCCCAACATTTTTGGACACCTATATTAAGGCCTGTATTATAGGGGGTTTCCTGCAAAACCTTTCAGTAAATATATTCTTTTTTTTGAGTTGGAGTCTCACTCTGTCGCCCAGACTGGAGTGCAGTGGCCGCTCCCGGCCCCCGCAGCCTCGAC